CTTACACAAATGAGTCTGGACCTATGTTAAAGTTCAATGAAGATAATTACCTAGTGTCATGACCACGGTATTTCCATATCTAGGATTCACTGTCACCCTAATAACCAGCATTTGCATGACTTCAGACTCTAAGTCACTTCTGCTTTCTAAGACTAACTTTCTTTCATGCACTCAAATTTGAGACCTTTTGAGAAGAGACTATCTAAACACACACCAAGACCGTTATTTTGCCCCTAGGCACTACATAACATAAAAAAGCAACCATAATTAAGGGGAATTATGGAATCATGCACTGGGATGGACTAAAGATAAGCAAGTCTCAACAGATCTACTTCCATTTTCAAGTTAGGCCTCAACAGTCTTGTTTCTACTCCCTGCCTGAAGAAAACATGCTGTAAGTTATATATTCAAACACATCAATAGCACTATGTACTGGCAGAATTTGTAAAGGACTTAAAATTCAAAGAAAGAGGAACTGTACGAAAGGAGATTCAGCTGGTAACTATACAACTGCCTACCTCTGTCACTTAGAAAAGCTGTCAGTGTATAGTACTGCCTCCACTCTGCTTGTACTGCCATCTGATTTCAGCACTGCAGACATGTTCTTACACGTGCCTATTTCCAAAAATTACTTCTCAGAAATGTGTAGAAACTGGACTTCCATTGTGTGCTGATGAAGGAATTTCAGATTTGACCTTTAACAGAAATCAATGTGCTCTGTGTAGAGGATAAATGTATGTGGATAAAACGTGAACACTCCTGTCTCTTCAATACAAAGACATTTCTGTTATCCACATGTACCTCCCCTCAGAGATACACAACCTCTCCAAAACTATACGTTCTGTGTACTACTGCAGGTTAGTGACATATTTTAACTGTAATGACTTAGTGGTCTCCAAATGTCAGAGACTATTTCTAGAAAGGTTTTATTGCAGTCTCAGCTTCATCTTCAATTGCCTTGTTGACTTTTCAAATACCTAAAGATGCAATACTGTCCCACACCACTAATTTGTGACTCCTTTCTACTCTGGCCTTAAGAAGAAGAAAAAAAAAGAAAAAAAAAGAAAAAAAAAAAAGGTGTTTCCTTCACCTAATTACATGCTGGTAAACAGTATTTCTTAAATACAGCAGTTTCCAGTAGGGCTTCAAAGTAAAGTTTCACAGCACAAAATAGACCCCAAAATGCAATTAGTATAAAAGCATTAGACTATAAGGGTAAATTCATAAAACATTAGCCATTGAAGTCTACATTTAAATCTAGATCACAGATTTTGGAGCTTCAATGTAAAAAACTGAAAACCAAAATGATCTTCCATCACTAGCAAGAGTTTGACATGATAAAGCAATAGAGAATTTAAACTGATGATGAAATCATGTTTTTCACTTTTAATCATATTCAGGTAATTTCATTATTTCATAGAAAGCATCTCTTTCTGATATTATTACTTCACTAAAATTTGCTGCAAAATTATTTCCCCTCTTGTTAGGAACCATCTGAATTTTTCTCAGAATTTTCTTATTTAAAGTATATTTCACTCTATTTTGTGTTCTAGTACAAAATACTGCAAGAGCCTGGAAGCATTTGGTGCTTTTCAGCATGCTCATGAAAAGGCAGGTTCATTTAAAATTGTATTTCACAGAATTACTAGTGTACAGTGATGATGCCCCATTTTCATGTAATGTTTATTTCCAGAGCAACAAGTAATAACATTAAATACAACTGAAAAGTCTGGCATGCAACAAACCTGAGTGGAAATAATTAGCACACACTCAACTGTGAATTGGTTTTCATCTGGAGAAAATTAAAATTATAGGGCTGTAGCCCCTAACTCATGTCAAATCTCCACAAATAAATTATGGTCAAGGAAACATCAGCTAACTTTCTAGACAGCAGAGCAAGCTTAGGTATTAGAAAGCTTAAGAAGTTATTTTGGTTTACTTTTCAGGAGCCACTTCAGTAGCCTATTTAAAAGTCAGCCTTGTTCTGTGCTAAAATCAGCCTTTTGCACCATTAGCTTCTTCCATTTCTGAAGAACTACCTTGTATCTACCTGCCACAATCACAGGACTTGTTCCAGCCTGGAGTTGGGGGGGGGGGGGGCAGGTGGAAGTGCGCCTTTCCCAGTATCAGGCAAGACTTTAAAGTTCAGAAGCTAAGCTCTTTTATATGTAGGAAAATGATTAAGATGTCTAACATTGCTCCTGAGTCCTCGTTAACTTCCACCTGAAGCAGCCATAGCTGTAATCTTACATCATCATTGTCCTAGGTAGACTTAAGAAAAACCTGTATATATTAACATGCTGGTAAGTAATCCACAGTTCGTAACTGCAGAATTATTTTTACTTACTACTTGAAGTTAGATATAAAGCTGCTTTGTAGGAGATTTAAGCATATTTAATTGTGACTGCTTAATGTAATTGGTTGCTCCATACCAAGGGATTACTCTGCTGTGCGCTGAATTTGCGATTTACATTTTCATATGGCTGAGAGATCCATTTTGAAAAATTACAGCACTTTAGAATTTTTTTTTCCAGAGCAAATTATAAATTTTTGTGTTTTTTTTTTTTTTCCAATTTTCCTCTTTTTCCATATCATTAATTTTATCCTATAAACATACATGCAAATACAAGCTAGCATTAGAAATTATTTAATTAGCAAGGGAGGAAAAGAAATTATTTCAAACAAAATGAGCTAGCCCACAAGTGAAACAAATCATTTCAGCAGACACCATGTTATCCAGTTTCTGTCACTGGTAATGGCTCATATTTAGAGTAGCCAATTGAGAAGGCAATCTTATTCAGTGTGGCTTTAAACATGTCTGAAACCACTGCCTACAAAACAGATATTAATCACTACTGTACAAATCATGTGAGGGACCCTGCAATAACTCGATGAGTTTGGTTATCCACTACTTAAAACCATAAATGAAGCATCTATACACAGCATCTGTTCTACAACATACTTTTTTCCACAGTATATACCTTGACAGTTAATTCTATTTTTCAGTAGCAAAATCCATCCTTGTTTCTTTCCATCATATTCAAACAGGCAATAGATAGGCAACCTTATTTTGGGGTGCAGTAGAAAAGACATCACAAACCAACCTTGCCAGCATTGCTCTTCAGAATGTTACCGTAAATCGGCAGATGAAGAACTCTCTAAGACTCAATTTGGAGTTTTAGAAAGCAGGCATTCTTTATTGCAGCGCTGGGTGCAAGGTGGAATTTCCACAAATCAAGCACACCTAAGGTTAGATCACCGTTACATTTATACACAACAATTACAAGATAATACACTCCCAATTACAATGATTGGTTAGTGATTTACATAAACTTATACTAACAGAAGAGAATGACACAGCAGATATTATGCTTGTGCAGGGGAAGGGTCTTCACTTGGGCAAGGGTCTTCTTGACCTGTGGGTGTGGTTTTTGGTATTATAATGAGGACAGTTCACTTCAGGTTACCTTAAGATAAATACTACTGTCAAGTTAACTCAATACTCATCCATCTATCATGTCAAGTTGTCAAATAAGTCATCCCATATACAATGAGGCCTAAGTGGCCTGGTCGCGCTCCGAAGACTTAAAGGTAAGGTTAGCATGGTTCAGCGACTATCACAACAACCCCTTACATAACACTAACATGAAGATTAGTAACACAGCAGGTGCAGTAACCCCTACACAACGCTCGCATAAAGATTGATCAAAATGTTCTAAATTTACCCATTCACTACCAGCCACAAAATATAGATTCAATAAAATAATAATCAACATTTGCAACAAGAACACATACTTACGTTCTTATCTGTGTAACTCGCTTTGAGTAAGCAGATTTTATTTTTCCATCATGTGACTACTTTACAGTTACAAAGAACTAGATATAGTCCAGAGGTGATTTATATTCAGACCCTGAGCAGATAACAAATACCTTTATTATTTTCAGGCATAATTGCCAATATTTTTATTGCTATGCAAATTAATTATTGTAAAGAAAAAATACCTGGTCAATATGGTTCAAGGATTCATCTAGTGTAGCAATTCTCATTTTCATGTATTAGACCCAAGCAGTTCACTCTTTCTCCTCTTTTAAAAATCAGTGTGCAGCACCAAGTGGGACGTACCTCATGGCAACACTGATGTACTTGAGGGTAAACACAGAGTTGATCTCCTTTCTCTTCATGTAATATGGGATTCCCTCACTGCCCAATGCAGTAAGGGAATACATATGAGTTTATCCCCTTATATGCCATTATGCCATTGTCTTTCAGGATACTTTTTGTCACATATGGTTGACTAGTTAAAGCATCCACCCTGGTCAAACGTACAGGTCTAATCTCCCAGCAATTCTACATAGGTTTCTTTCTATGTCCTCATCATTTTTGAGATAGCAACCAATACAAAGTGATGTTTTCCTACGGCTGCCAACTGCAGTTTGGCAAACAAACTACATACTGTATAGCCAGAAAGTGAGTCTATTATGGAAGCCAGCAGCCACACCAGCAATTTTTGGCTGCAACACTGGGAAACATTAGAAGAACTTAATTGGAATTAAACATTTCCCCAAGTCACTAAACTCAAAATACCTATTTCTGAACATGGAAGTCCTGACTGGTAGAAAGGTTCAGATATCTGATATTTCAAAATAGCAATCTACTCAACAGCTGCTGAAGACAGTGACTGAGAAGCCAGCATACTGCAGGGGTGGTGCACGGCTAAGTAGTATCATTCCTGGAGCAGTAAGTGTTTTGGGACCCTGTCATACAAATTCTATGAGAAGGTACCCTAGTTATATTGGGATTGTATACCTAAACTCTCCCTTCCAAATCATAAGCAAAAGGAGAGGAGGGGAAGGGGGGGGGGGGGGGGGGGAGAAAAACGCGGCCCCCCTCCCCTCAAAGGCATTCTTATTGATGACTTGGTACATTCAGTAATGTTCATGAGAGATAATGCAGAGAAAACAGAGTTCTTGGATCACTAAGAGAAAAATAATTGTATGTGGAAAATCTGCTTCCGATAGCAGCGTGGATACTGATGAAGATCAGATCATCTTCATCATTCCTTCTGACACATACTACAGTGTTACCACTTATTTCATGTTTCACAAGTCACTTGGTAAGGAAAACTAAAAGTTAAGTTATCCTTAATTATTTAGAGAACGCCAGTATAAGCAGATGACAGCAGACAGTTAAAACTCTACCCGATTCACATTACAAACCCTTTGCTGATTCTGCGAAACCAGAAAGTCTTCAGATTACTATCAGCAAGAACTTTCTTCTCAAACTTTTGAACTACCAGAACTACCAGTTATAAATAAAGAACTTGTGTTCTTTTATCTTTTCTTTAAATCCCCATTTTAATGAAATTTCACAAAGAGATCTCAGAAGACAGCTTTTACAACATCTTTGAAGATCGTCAGCAAGATAGAGAAGAGATCCATAGTAAATTCTGTATTGAAAGGAAAAAGCAACAGCACAAATTTATCACTTACACACCAGAGAACCTGTATGGGAGAGAGGTAAGTGCCTCATCTGCTAGAATAATTTCAGAGTTTATACCTTAGCTATGAGAACCTGAGCAAGACAATTAGAGGAAGTCAGGCTTCACAAACTCTGCTGCACATAAGATTAATTATCCTTTTACAGCCTTAGTTTTGTTTTTATTTTTATGATCTTTCATGACTCCCGAAGCATGAATTATTTGAATCTGAACTTACTTGTATTTGAATAACTGTAACCCGAGCTTGGCGAAATCAAGGCAAGCTTTGCAATATTATCTAAGCATCGTAACAACAACCTAGAATGTTACAAAACAAAATAAGAACTTAGCACGTGTGTAAATTGGGTTAACATAATGCAACTTGATTTTCACAAACAGGTTTTGTTGGAAGCTTTCTGCCTATTCATATTCCATTCAGGCTTAAATACCTTAAAAAGAAGCACTTATTTGTGGAAAAGGCCAAGATCCTCTCAGATACGTGGAATGGAAGATAAAAGGCTCAAAGTAGAAAACAAAACCCCCTCATCTAGTGACCCAGATCTACCCTATTAACAGGTAGGAGAACGCATTGCTATCATAAATGCCCGAATTATTTACTTGATGCATTTATTTGTAATATAAATGACACTGTGCCAGTTAAGTACTCAGCATTCCAGTATCTCATAATCTTGTTGTACTTACATGGAGTAAGTATCCATTACCACTTGGAACACTCATTTAGCCTGCTCAGCTGACTGCTTAATGAGGTCTGGAAAGTAAAGTCTTATCTGCAAAAAGCCAATGTAGAAAGAAGCATGAGCACACTGTTTTTTTTTTTTTCAAAGTACTTGTTCAGTCTTAATGTGAAAAGGAATTAGATTAAGGAGAGTGTTCAGAAAAACAGAAATTAAATAAAAGATGAAATATATGTATAGTAATGAAAGCAATGCTCTTTTCCATTTGTTGAATATTGTTAGAATTTTGTTTTTATAAAATACCATTAGGCTTTCAAAAATCTCTCCTAGAAGCTATGCATTCTCCCTCATACTTGTTCAGTCTTAATGTGAAAAGGAATTAGATTAAGGAGAGTGTTCAGAAAAACAGAAATTAAATAAAAGATGAAATATATGTATAGTAATGAAAGCAATGCTCTTTTCCATTTGTTGAATATTGTTAGAATTTTGTTTTTATAAAATACCATTAGGCTTTCAAAAATCTCTCCTAGAAGCTATGCATTCTCCCTCACCCCCACCAAACGAGTTCTTTAGGAATTCCACACAGCAACAGGTCTAGGGCAGCTCCCTTTAACAGCTTTTTTTGGAGTGTTTATAATGAGTCAGACTAGTCTATGTTTCAGCTCCAGAAATAGAGTGGGACATCATTAGCTGCATTCACTCAGGTTTTACTTAATGTACTAGTCATCACTAAGTGTTTAAAGGATACTGTCAGTAAATGCTGGCTACCTCCCTTTCGCTCACTACTCATATCTAGCTACATGCAAGACTCACAAAGCAAACCTGTTACTGCTAATCATTGCTAAACCGCTGCTGCCAATGCAAGTTAAAATAATATCCTTCACTTTATAGATGCACAAATTGGATCAGACAGAAATCTGAAATTGCCATTGAGACCATACAGACTGTTTCTTACCACGTATCTGCAGCAAACACGTAAGTCTGAGTCAAAGGCCCTCAGCCACAAGTCTTTGCTACCTAAAACATTTCAAATTGAAGCGTAGACTCTACATGGCAAAAAAAATGCGTTGACTGACTGCAGAAACCTAGGTTTCTTTTAAGAAGCATTCCATGAACTTATACTTGTCTGTCAACTGGAAAACACTGTTTGAAGTAGAATATTTTTATAAAAGAGTCATTTCAATGCTTTAAATTAAGTTTATGCTCAATGACGTTTATTTTGCTGCTTAAAACCCTACATTTTTATTACTTTTTTTTTTACTTAGATTTCTTTTTTATTTAAAAACCCCCCACCAAACATCTTCACTGATCCTGCAGCAAACAGAACACTTAATCTTTTCTTATAAGACTTCATTACCCAAAGATCTGGTATATAGCAGTTCTTAGATTTGTAGAAAGATCACTGGCACTACTGAAAGCTTCCTTTTAGTTCCTGTACAAGCACAAGGAGAAACTGAATGGTCAATTATTCTGATAGGAAAAAAAAAATTATCTATCATTCTAGCAACCGAAACTGATTTGTTTGTACCCGCTTTCTTCAGTGTGCAACACTGGGCGTCTCCCAGAGCTGACAAATTAACGTTTGAGTAGTGTCATGATGAAGCATTCCCTCAAAAAGGAAGTATGACAAAAAGCTGTTTCCTGTTTTCTGCAAACTGTGTGGTCACATTATTCATAACGTAACTAACACCAGCTTAAGTTTGTCTACTAAGAAAGCATTGTTTTCACATACTGATATACTCAATCATAAGTAAAAATACAAACAAAAAAACTACCAAAAAACCCCCAGGAAAACTGTTATGTAAAAATCCGTATGCTTTCTCTTTCTATAAATACTTCCTCTTTATTGTTCACATAGGTCTAGCCTGTGCTTATTCATTCAAAGTATTTTTTTTTTCATTGATAAATTGTCATTCAAGGTATTTTTTTTTCCCCCAAGAGACCTCCTTTGTCTCCCCTTACACTGATGTTGTTGTTAGCGTGACACTAGTCGAATGCATTTGGTATGCCAGTTGTATGAAGTCTCCACATTGCTGTTGCCATTTCATGAAAGAACTGGCTTCATTAAAGACAGAATACAGTGAATTTCCTGTACAAGCGAGAAACTGAATGGTCAATTATTCTGATAGGAAAAAAAAAATTATCTATCATTCTAGCAACCGAAACTGATTTGTTTGTACCCGCTTTCTTCAGTGTGCAACACTGGGCGTCTCCCAGAGCTGACAAATTAACGTTTGAGTAGTGTCATGATGAAGCATTCCCTCAAAAAGGAAGTATGACAAAAAGCTGTTTCCTGTTTTCTGCAAACTGTGTGGTCACATTATTCATAACGTAACTAACACCAGCTTAAGTTTGTCTACTGAGAAAGCATTGTTTTCACATACTGATATACTCAATCATAAGTAAAAATACAAACAAAAAAACTACCAAAAAACCCCCAGGAAAACTGTTATGTAAAAATCCGTATGCTTTCTCTTTCTATAAATACTTCCTCTTTATTGTTCACATAGGTCTAGCCTGTGCTTATTCATTCAAAGTATTTTTTTTTTCATTGATAAATTGTCATTCAAGGTATTTTTTTTTCCCCCAAGAGACCTCCTTTGTCTCCCCTTACACTGATGTTGTTGTTAGCGTGACACTAGTCGAATGCATTTGGTATGCCAGTTGTATGAAGTCTCCACATTGCTGTTGCCATTTCATGAAAGAACTGGCTTCATTAAAGACAGAATACAGTGAATTTCTTGATTAATTGTAAATGGGGAATACCAGGACCAGCCAAAAACTGGAGAAGCTCTGAGCTAGTAAAACTGAACTGCAGTCAGGGGTTGGCTAGGTATACAACCTTTTTGTAAAGCAAAGGGGTGGGTGGGAAGCCCACATATTCGCAGGATCCCTAACTCTTCAAAGATTATGTTTTCCCACACTTTCCCATTCTCCTGTTATTCCTTCCCTCATCTTTCATCATTGTTCAGAAAGCTATGCAGCTGCTGTGAACTGGGCACATGGTAGCACAAACAAATCTGAAGGGTGGAGCAGTGCTGCCCCATGATGAGTCAGCACATGCCTATTTCTGAAGTGAAATAAGCTTTTACTTCACACTGGAGAAATTTAAATAGCCCTTGAAAGAAACAGGTCAGTACATCTCAGACAAGCGTAAACTCTGAAATAAAAACACCCCTGAAACAGGATACCAATATAATGGTAAAATATTTCTTATTATCACTTATGACTCAAGCTAAGTTAGCTTATTCACAGCTACTGGCCATATACTACACAGAAAAAATAAGTACTAGAACATTCACTGCAACAGTCAATGTTGCAGTAGTTAAGATCAAGAAGCACAATTTTTTTTTTCGTAGAAGCATCTGCCCTAGTAAACTGCTTATAGTTCCAAGATAATCTGAGGATATAGCAACAACACTCCATTTACTAGTTAGTGAATTAAGAGACTCCTAAATGAACTAGCCATTTATCAATATAATTAATAAGTCTAACATTTATTAGTGTTTCAGGTTGCTCTAATTTGTACAAAGCATGTATTTTAGTGCTACGAGTTGCTGAACGGGAAGTTTAGTTAAGTTTTAGGTACAGACAAGCAGAAATAATGCCCTATGCATCTGAATACCACTTGCAGTCATCAATAAAAGATGAATTAATAAAACAATTAATGAAAGCCATGATTTCATTGTTCCCAGTAGCTTCATGTGCAATAAAAAAGTTATTAGTGAACAGATTTCTGCGTAAAGTACAGCAATCATGCCAACCAAGAGTTTTGACACATTTTAAGTTCATTTAAAATGCAGAAATGAAAAGATCAACCCAGAAATTCTCCCCTCCAACCCACTGGACATCAAAATTTAGACTGGGGGGGAGGGAGGGGAATTATTCTTTTTAATTAGTTTTGTCCAATTCTCTTTGTTAATTAAACCATGCTGCCTTTAAACTCCAAAAATACCAAGTTTTTTACCACTTTTCTAATTTCCTACTGTATATAATGTTAAAAATGCAGGGATGTTAAACTTGAGATTAACAGATCCCAGGTCAAAAGACAATCCACTTTTTGAAATGAACCTTTTTTTCCCCCCTTCTCTTTTTTTTTTTTTAAACACCATCTCTGTCTAAGGCTCTTCGTATGTATGCTATTTCACCCTCAGAGAGCAGCTGAGAGAACTTGAGGTTTTTTAGTACATGAGCTCTGCCAGTGAAGAAGGACTGCTCCGTGACCTTACATTTATTAAACTCTTTTCCTTCCTACTTCAGAAGTACATTAGAATTTTCTCCTTTGAACTGACTGTGCATTCAGACAGTACACGTGTATTCTACAATTTTAACTTCCGTCCCTTTGGTCTGCCTAGTTTTCCTTCCCCCCACAATGTGAATAGCACAATATGTGTCTAGGTATAAACTATTTCACTAATAGAAAAAAGTGCCAAAAATAAAGCCAAGCTTATAAAAAAGGAGAGGCAATATGATTAAGTTCTCTACTGCATAGAACATATAGTTCCTCCTACAAAACAAATATTCTGCAGGGAATCTTTAAGCCAATAACGACCCATGAAAATTTTTTATTTTTTCTGAGCGTCTGGAAGTCACTGCATATGGTAGAAAGTATCAACAAGGGGGAACAAATACTCACGAGATCTTAAATTGCATTTTTAAACTAAAGGCTGTCATTCTTTAGAACTCTCCAAGTCATTAACAAAATCTACAGAGCTACAGAAGTAAACTGACACATAGACAAACGGTATTGCAAATTCAATACTTAAATATTGACATTTATAAATATTTTATTAATAATGTAATTACTTATAAATATTAAATACAAAAATTAATTCTAATACAGCTTGGGCATCTGATTAAGAGTTACATTAGACAGTATATTGCAGTATGTAATTTGGATTCATCTAACAGATAAAAGCACTAGCTATGCTACTCAGAAAACATAATGACTCAGCACCTTCACTAATTTTCTTTCTGCAATCTATGAAGAGTTACTGCCACAGAAGTAAAATTCCTGAGGTTATGACTTATTTTGCCAAAAGGTGTACAATATAATGAAGCATAATCAAAAAAACCTTGACAACTGTAACATAGGATACTAACTTCCCAACAACTGCCATTACATTGGAATCATACCTTAACTTCCAAAGAGGACAACATACAAGCACAATATAGTTGTTTATGTAGACATTTCTACAGGAGAAAAAAAAAAATTCCAAAGATGCTATGTATGCTAACTGCCTGGACCACTTTTGTCTTCAAAATTATTCTATAATCAAATAGGTTTTATGTTTTTAATAATTAAAATACGTTTTAGAACCAGACATTTCATTTCAAGCCAGTTTTTGCATACCTCTTTTAAACCATCTTTTTATGCAAAACAGAAACTGCCAACATAGGAATGTGTTTTAGGTAACCATTACTGCTCTTACTATATTTCCTTTTAGAGAATCAAACTCCTCTATTCCTTTGTCTGAACAGGATACTTGATTTTAAAAAAGCAGCTCTAAAATTCTCCTGTTCATGTCACTAAAACCAGATTAGCATAACCTTGGCTGCTGTGCATCACTTTAACACTTCATTAGCTTCAGTGCTAAATAAGAATATGTAAGCCCAGGAACTAATGTTAAGTTACTGTATTCTACTAGTTCCAATAGTTATTCCATTATGTTTCCTAGACTTAATTAGCAAATACAATATGCAGAAACCAACAGCAAAAGGCATTGAATTCTGCATTTAAACTACAGATGTGAAGCTAAACAGAAAAAATTGTGGATTATCAGCAAACAAGATTATATACACTCTGCTGTATTGCTTTAGAGTGGGAAGAGAAGCGTGGACATACCAAGCTCTTTCTAGACTGCAGAAGGGCAAAGCGCAGGAAGTGTTCTGCTAAGTACTAACCCTCTTTGTGCCAGTGTTTAATCAGTGGTGCTGACATTGTTAACTGAAGTCTGAACTGGGAAGAGCAGTAG